GTGATGACTCATATGCAAACAACTCAACCAATCATACATCAATCAATCAAATCATTCAAGTTTCCAATTAAATTCTCAATTTATCAGTGACAAACAACATTTATTATTGCATCCTTTAACTACCTCGGTGTATAAACACCTTAAGTGCATAAGGCACCTCAACTTCTCAACTTTGTCTTATAAGACTTTAATTCTTCCTTTACTCATTCCATTTCAATATAAACGAACAAGTAATTAAAATAATTCATTATATCTTTGCCTCTAAGCTCACTTTGAACATTATTGCATAAATACTGCTCATAAGGGAAAATCAATGCACATTTCTCAAGCATGAATTAAACTAACCATCACATTTATCATCAAACAACTCATTACCAAACAATTCCAATCAATCCACAAGTTCCCTAGCATGATTCTAGGTTTTTCCAAGTCCCTAAACATGCTCCTAAAATCAAGTTTTCTCGTATTTTTATACGTACCTTAATTAAATCATCTTTCTAACTAGCCACAATGCTAGAAATTACTCAACTTAAAGTCTCCTACAATACCAAATATATAAACTCAATTACTTCCTTGATTACACAAATTTCTAGCAACTTTTAAACACTTTAAACCTTCTCTAATAAGCCGAAATTTTGGTTTAAAACCTTTAAAACTCTTTCTTTAAGTGGGTAATTAAAACCACAAAGTAAAAACTCATTCATGGTGTTTATATAAAAATTCCAGCACACTTTTTAAAATTTAAACCCCCCAAATAAATCTGAAAATTATTTTTAAAACATTAAACCTTCGTCAAAAATCAAAAACTATCCGAAAACCCTATTTAGAGGCTGATTTTGGCCACGAAAGGGTGGTGCTCACTACAAAAGGTAGTGAGTTATGATTAGAACATTATTTACACACGAAAAACACTATCTTTTTTGTAAAAATCGGACGAGTTATAATCTCAGCGGGATAAAAACGTGATTAAAAATAATTAAGAACGGATATCGGAATTTGATTACCGAAAATCAGTTTTTATGTTTAATTAATCTTTATAAATTCAATAGGAATGAAAGCCCTAATTTAATTGATTATTAGAACCCTAAAAATCAACACTTTAATAGTTAAAACCCTAACTTTTTAATACTTTATAAAAACCATAATTTAAAACCATAAAAAATCAGAAATTTATACTCTTTAGTTATCAAAACACAATTATAAAATATATTAATCATATTTGAATAGCAAGAATCAAAACCCAAAAATATATACTACATAAAACAATAATTTAAAACAAGGAGGAGGAGAGATGAGTGGCTCACGATGGGGGTGGTTACCGACGTGGGTCGTCGGAGCTCCGGCTGGCTGGGGAGTGGCGTGAGGTTGCTGCAAAACATGAAAGCAGCAATTGGCCATGCATTCACGCATGAACCAAAGCAGCATGCAAGGAAAGAAAAGAATAAGAAAAAGGAGAAAAGAAAAGAAAGAAAAAGAAAAGAAAAATAAGGGAAAAGAAAAGATTACTTACCCCAAAATCTGATTTTTGATCTCTTGTGTGGGAAAATTTTGGGGTATTGAGAGGTATTTATAGAGTAGGGAATAAAGATTAGGGTTGGGTTTAATAAACAAATGGACTTTATTTATGAAATATTTGACCCACAAGGGTTCAAATAAAAGAATTGGGCTTACTTAAATGAAATGGGTTGGTCCACAAGGAGTATGTAAGGATTGTTTACATACTATTATTTAAACGAGCCTAAAAGATTAATAAATGTTTAGCCCAAAATAAATTATACTTTTATAAAACTCAATAATTTAAATACTTTAGCCCTTTAAATATTTAATTAAAATACTTGAGTATTTTAAAAATATATTTTATAATTAATTAAATAATTTATAAAATACATAAAAAATACGGGGTATTACAGGTGTGGCTGTGAAGGAGGAGATCGAAGAAGGAGAATGAGAGGAGAAGGAGAATTCCGGGAGAAGGAGAAGAGAGGAGAGAGAAAGAGAAGAAGAGAGGAGAGAGAAGGAGAAGAGGCGTAGGGGAGGAGAGGAGAGAGCGAGAAACGAGAAATAAAAGGGGGGACCCGGGTATTTTTTTAGGGTTGTGTAGGGTTAGGTTTTTTTATTATTATTTAATTACATTCCGACGGAAAATTCCGTCGGAAAATAAAATTTCCGACGGATTTTATTTCCGCCGGAAATTTAATGTATCGACGGAATAATCCGTAGGAAGTTTCCGACGGATTTTATTTCCGTCAAAACATTAAATTTCTGACGGAATATTCTGTCGCAAAGCCCATAAATTCAGACGGATTTTTATTCTGTAGGAAATTTCCGGCGGAATTTACTGAATTTCCGACGGAAAAACATGTCCGTCGGAAACGGTCCGTCGGAAATCGGCCTATTTCTAGTAGTGAACATCAACAACAACAAAAGCAAAAACCACAACAACAACAACAACAACAACAACAACAACCACCACCACAACAACAACAACAACAACAACATCAACAACAACAACAAAAACAACAGCAACAACCACAACAACAACAATCAGTTCAATGAAAAGAATGAATGCGTATGGTGAAGTTGATAATGGACAGAAAATCAATTAAAAAAATCAGTAATATTGATAATATTTGTTTGGATAAAACGCACTAGAGAATCCGATTACAACAAACTAACAAAAGAAATTCTAAGATCCTAATTCATCTATTCGACGTAATTGTTGTCTATCAACCCGCGGTCTCTGACGACGATAGTACTGAGATACCGTTGTGAAAGGATCTGGGGAAGAGTCTGTTGGCTGGATAATGGTCTCTCTTGTGATGAGTATGGCGCAGACACGGGTATGGTGAAATCCTCCTGAATGTCAAAAAACTGCGAGGACGCTGTAGGGGACGTGTGAGTCTGTCCCCTACTACTCTCGCGTACCTCATTGTGTGAACGCTGGTGTTATTGGTCCCGCCCCTGGATAAGATGACCATGACCATGTCTCTGTAAGCTACTCATTGCCTGAATTTCATCTATCTGCGGTATGGTGGGATATGATATGCTCAAGAGTCCCAGTGCATCATGTATAGCCAGCATATCAAACGCCTGCATAAGTCAACAATCAGTCAATTTAATAATACCAGAAATTATAAATTGATAAAAAAAAAAACCATCTAAAACTCACATATCCACTGATTTCTCCAAAAGCTAGCTGATAATATAATGAGTTGAGGGTGGAGTGTAGTTAAGGGTAATGAAGCGTCGGGTAATGCTCCTGTACCATACCATGTATGGATCGTGATACTCCATCCGGCCTTGGAAAGACGCACCATCCACGACGTGTTGCAACCGCTGATCCCACATGTCAATGAAAGGGGCATGCTGAACTGCCCAACTCACATCCCCCTTTCCTCATCGGCCTGTCCTGTGCAAGTTTCACCAGTCACCAAAGTTTGAGACGGTGTTGCTTGAACATGTTTTTGCGTAGGAGAGTAACTGTGCAACTACATTGGCGATGAAATGCCATTGTTTGAGGTAGATGGACCAGGTTGCTGCAACATTGACACCGACGCCCTTTCATGTACAGGTGCAGTAAAATGTGAACTGAAAGGAATGTCAAATTGATCGTCGTGTAACATTTTAATGAAAGATCCCATTCCATATTCAAATGACGGAATGTTGTATGAGGGCATTTGTAACGAGCTTGTATTGTATGAGGGAAGATATAATATAGGTTGTTGCTCGGGCAATCTAATAATCTGTTGAGTACATATAGACACCATTTCCACATACAAATCAGTGGGAAGAGACCTCCTTGCAACGACACCCCTCAAAACCTCCAAATGGTCATCATTCAAAACAGGTAAGATTTGAATCCCACTGACACTCTCAAACCCCATTTTAATGTTCAGTTCAACATTCGTTGGGTTTGAACCAGTTATAGTATAAACCTTTTTCAACAAATCATTGTAAGTCATACAAGGTTTCAATGCCCACGACTCCAGTTTTCCTCCTCTATACTCGACGTTCGATCCGTCACACAAAATTTCACCCCCCAACAGCATAACAAAACAATCAGTTGTGAAGCCATGTTCTACATAACAATCGGAACACATATTAGATGACACAAATACACATATATACAACGTAGTGTTCAACAATGTACTTATTTACCTAGTTAATCAACGATGTAGTATATATATATTTAAATGTACCTAATTCAACAATGTAGTTTGTAAACATACTTGAAATTTACACACTAAGTATGAAGAATAATGTATGCTTCATATACATGATTTGAAATTAAACAACATACATATAAATATACTTAATTTCAATAATTAAACAACAATGTATTATGTAGTTATACTTATTTAGCATACTTGAACAACAATATAGTACATACATTGTAAATTACAAACATAAATTCCCAAAAAACATCATAAACAAGTAAAAAAGTTAAATACAATACATACCTCAAATACGGTCAATTTACTACGTAAAAGTGTTAAACAAAGAAGGAGGAATAATTTTTAGTGAGTATGATGAAGATCTAAGCAATGGGAAGTGATGAATTTGCTGCAAATATGGAGGATTGGACGAGCTATGTGGCGCAGGTTAGGGTTTGGAAATTGGGGGCTTTTCGTTTTTTTGAAGAACAATGAAAAAAAATAGCATTATACTGTGTGAAATACCCGATACAAAAACGCCAACCAGGCTGGCGCTTTTGGTACAACGGTAAAACGCCAGCCTGGTTAGTGTTTTTACCTTGGCCAATTTTTTTAAAAAAATTTTAGTCAAGGTAAAACGCCAACCAGGCTGGCGTTTTCTTTGACTGATTTTTAAAAAAAAAATGGTCAGGGTAAAAACGCCACTCTGGAAACTTAGTTTGGTAAATAGTTTTGCCACGCGTCTAATATGGAACATTGTTTCTCATTAAAGCTCCATTTGGTCATTTTTCCGAAAATTTGATCAAAGTAGGAACATTATTGTGGAATAGAACAGAACAGAACAGAAGGAATACTTGTACGAGTAGTCCGTAGCATGAAAGGATAAAACCTTCGTCAAGACATCAACTACCATAACTACCAAAATATTCCCAAGATTTGAGCCCTTTCCCTCCTTTTTAATACCTTTCATTTTCCTCATTTCTGTTCGTTGCTGCTCACTGTTCGTTGTCGCAGCAAACTTCAAATCGCTTAATCTCTCTCATTTCATCATCAAATCTTGTCTCAAATCTTTGCATTTTTTATCCTCTATACTGCTCTATGTAAGTTTTCTTCAATCTCTTCTCAATTTTGCTGAATTTCAAACATGTTCTTCGCGAAATTTTCGAAAATTCGAATTAGGTTTTTGTTGTTTGCTCAATTTTTGTTGAAATTCTTGTCATGAATTCGCGAGGAGGTTTGTATATCAATACCAGCAATTGTAATTAATGATAGCATTGTAGCAATAGCTCATTATAGTAATTTGGATTTTTTCAATCGTAATCGCAAAACAGAGATCAATTTAGGTTGTCAATTTTTGGTGCATTTGAATTTTTTTTTTGATTTGATTGTTTTCTTTACGCTCCTTTTTCTTTGAGATTGTTATTTTTTTGTGATTTTGATGGTGGAAATTGTTGAATTTATGTATATAAATATACTCAGGGATAAAGGCATTAAAAGAAAGCCAAGAAGATTGTTGAATGCTATGATGAAGAACACTGCTGATGAGAATTCTGAATTGATAGTTCGAGTTACTAGTGCTTTTGAAGACACAATCGAAAGTTGGCCTGCGATTAAGGTGCTGCGCGAAATGAGCGTAAATTTTGGTCTAATCAAAGACTTTGGCAAGCTTGTTAAATCAATCAAAAATGAGCTTAGGCGGAGTAAGACCTTTTACGTGAAAAAGCTTCCGATTGTGAGAGGGCTGTTCAAGAAGCGTGTCAACTCTATGAAATCCTGGAACAAAAGGATTTCTAGAGTTTCTTGCGTATCTCGGACCGAGTTAAAGAAGATGCTTAATGTTGCAGTCAATTTAAACGTAATGGTGATGAATATGTACAATAGTTTGGATGCAAAAGCTTGTACATATTCTGCTCTGCCTATTGAGAGTAAGAAAACATATTTGATAGCGCGTAAAGTAGCTCCCAGAGGTTTAGCCAATAAGTTCATCGTGAGTAATACCGTCGAGGATGGATTGCCCGGAAAGATCTGGAATGCTGCTATCAAACTTAAGCTTTCTGTTTTATTTGGCCCCTTAGAGAATTTCGTGATCTCCTGATTTGTTTGAGGATTCATAGCAGAGGTATAGAAGTATATAGTATATGGAGTATTATTCATACATAGGAGAAGTAAACGGCATATTAGTATATGGAGCATGCGTGCTTATTAGTGTATGTTATATAGTAGAGTACGGAGTATATGGTATACGACATAAAAGTGTAGTGTATGGAGCATGTGTGCTTATTAGTATATGGTATATGGTAAGAGTACGTACTACGTAGTAAATGGTATATAGTACTAGAGTATATGGTATATAGTATAGAGATGAACAAAGAAGTTTTGATATATCAGTATGCGGTATATGGAATAATGGAGTATGAGTGTCAATTGTATATAGTTTTGCCAACACTCGTATATTGTTGTTGGAATGCATGTGGCATGACAGTATGACACATGTGGTTGGAATGGCATATTAGTAATGAATAATGAACAATTTTGTGAGAAATCATTATTGCAGTAGATACTTGTTGTTACATTTTTGCTTAATTTTACCTCTTTGTTTGGCATAATATATTTTGGTAAAAATTAGGTAAACCATTTTCGAACTTAATTTAATTTTCAGCGCAAGTTTGGAATGATTTTAGCTGATGTTTGGGTGAATTATCATTTTTTGATTGAAGAAATGGTATTATCACCATGGTTTAACTAGATTCAAACTTAGCTGAGAGCGAAGTATAATTCAGATATTATCGAGGCTAGACAGATTCCTGTATGTTATAAATGTAGATGAATCTCTCCATGAATCCCAATCCTTCTAATTTTTGTGCATTTGTTACCTCCTTATCTGTAATGTCTAATTGGAATTCTGCAGATCTTCTGAAAACCAAATTTGATGCTGTTTTCCGACAGAATGTCACACGCTCACACCTATTCAAGTCCTTGAAGGATATTATATATGTATCTTATCTGCAATCATTCACTTCTAATTATTGATTTCTTGGATATGCAACAGAACTACTCTGATTATTTAGGTTCAAATAGTACATTTCGCCTTCTGAATAAGGTTCTACTAGAGCTCTAGATGAGGTTGCTGAGTTGTATGATACAAATTCTACTTCACTTCTTTGGGGTTTGATCAATATGCTTTTTAGAGTATCTGATAGGAATATCTTGCATTCTATCTCACCAATTTATTTCAAACACTATCATCTGTCATTATGAATTTATGAGTATAGATGCATGTTTCTTGTTATAAATTAGCACATTGGCCCCCTCCTCCAGGCCCTAACTCTGCCTAACTCTGCCATGGGCAGAAGCCTCGTTAGAGCGTCAAGGTAAGGTTGATGTATATATATACATGCTTCTGAAACATAAATCAGGTTGCACATAGCTTGCTCCTTTGTAAAACCAACATCTAATTTTAATCCTAAGCATTGCATAGGTGCCTACAGAACTCTTGGCCCTCTTGAGATACCATACTTGTTATACCTGAACAGATTGTACAGATTGAATTGTTATACCCCCCCACCCTAATAAAATGCAGACTCACACAACCTAAAACAGAACAATATCACAATTTTTGCAAAAGATGACTGCAATTTTCCAAGTGTGTTTCTTTGAATTTTTTCTCTATGATTCTTTGTGAATATTTATTCTACTCAATGTTTCAAGTGGCTTGATTTTTTTAGAGATTTTTTTTTTTTCATTTTTGATGAATTTGCACTAAATTTCTCCCATTTTTCATTGCATATATGTTTGAGTACATCAAGTAGTAAACTTAATGGCTTGAATAAGTAAACAAAATTTCTCTTTAAGTAAACTAGATATCTTAAAAAGTAGAATCAACCGCTCCCAAAAGTAGATAAACAAAGATTTTGTTGTTGAGGATTGTTTTGTTGGGTGCATCAATGACTATTTTCATTGTTTGTTTGTAGCTTCAATTGTTAGTTCTAAATATACTGTTTTTAAATTGTTGATGATTTCACAACCTTGAATCCGTCAATCTAATATGAATCAAAGTAAACTAGATCTCCCTGAAAGTAAACTAACTTTGCCAACAGGTCTTCTGTAGTTCATTTTGGGTGATTTTTGTTTAGTTACGTTGAGTATTATTTTTCAAGTGCTTCAACTGTTCTTCCACTATCTATTCAGTGGTTTCTTCACTTGTAGGACTAAAAGATGACATTGATTGTTAATATCAGATACATATTTTCCTGTTAGGATGGAGCCGTTTTAGAATTCTACTGTATTTAGAGTTGTGGTTCATTTGGGTCAAATAGAAGGTTTTCTCCCTAAAAAATCTAGTTCCCTATGTTTTTCTCTTATCCTAAGAAGCAGATTGAAATTTGTCAACTGTAAATCAATAGGGTTCTGAAGTAACTTTTCAAATGATAAAATCGAGCCTGCTGAAATTGTTATATTCTTGGGAACGTTCTTCTAGTAAAATAAAGTTGTATCTGCAAAGAGGAAAAGGTTGTCAACCCCTCCATCAGTGTTTCGGCCTTTGATTCTTGTTTCAGATACATCAGCAAAGACACATAGATCTATAGAAGGAAATAATTGTACATTATTCAAGTCAATTATTGCAGCAGTAGTACAAGAATATATATACAGCTATACGTTCAACTAGAGTATGGAAATAGTTAAATATAGAAGCACAATATTAGGGGAGAATATTTGCATAATTATGGATTGATATCAATCCCATAAAGTGTGGCCTGGCATGATCATAGGGATTGATTTATGTTATTCCTTAATAATATCTACCAAAAAGATGATAGACAGTAGGTTGCTAGAGGGGTTATGGCCCTCTACAATATGCAGTCTTATTGTTTCATTTCAGGGTCCGTTTGGTGAGGTGTGAAACATTTTCAATGTAAAATGGTTTTCCATGAAAATCATTTTACAATGGAAAACTCATTTTCAAAAAAGTTTTCCGTTGTTTGGTTGAATGGAAAATGATTTTCCATTTTAAACATTTTTCATTGTTTGGTTGAACTGAAAATTCAATTGTGAGGGAAAATGTTTCCCTCCACTTGTGATGGAAAATGTTTTCCTTCTAAATTGGGGGAAAATGTTTTCAATAAGGTGGAAAATGATTTTCCACCCCAAGTTTTACATTTTAATGTTTTACACCAAACCAAACAATGTAAAATGGGAAAACACTTTTCAGTGAAAATGTTTTACGCCCTACCAAACGGAGCCCAATCTAACATCATTTCAATACTTGTTTGTAAGAAAGAGAAAGAAAAACTTGTTACACATGACTTCTCAGGTCGTACTTTGAATTCATCCTCCAATGTAATATGCTACACACCAACTTGCACCACCCATTCTACAGACATACAGCAGGAAGAGGCACAGACAAGCAGAGCAGGGCAACGGCACCAACACACCACAACCACCACAAGGAGCAGGGCACTAAAGCTGCAGAAGAGTTTTGGCTTATAAGCTTACTTTTGGGCACTTTTGAGTAGAAGAGAAAATAGTAGTAATGGTAGTAATTAAGGCTTGAGGCCACATCAATCAACCATTGTCTTCTCTATTTTCTGGTATTTTTTTGTTATTGTGAGTGCAGTACATTACATAATACAGAAGCAGGCTAAGGTAGCTGCTTTGCTATGGAAAGGTACACTAGAGAGGACTAGGATTCCATTGAAAGAGAAGAATTCATCTCATCAATCTGAGAATTCGAGACCTGTTGATGGCTCACAATCGCTGCTGATTGATCAGCATAGGTGGCCTAGTAGAACATGTGGGGAAATGTGTTATAATATTTTTGTCAAGAAGTGAGATATAGAATTTCCAAAATTCCGAGTTCTTCGATTGCTAGTATTGGTACACCGAGACTGTCAACTCTCAGCTGATAGTATTCCTAGGCTGTTACATAAATCTTCAAGTGATGCTTTAGAGCAGTCAGAACTTGATGATCATATTGGGTCATTGGGGTTATAGATGAAGTCAATGGATGACAGTTTACTGAAAATATCTGCAGGTATAAATATAGTCTTCTTCCAAAATGTTTTTGCTAGTATCTTTGCAATAGAAAAGACCCATAAGCTATCACTTTTATATATTTTTTTTCTTGACGGCAGATGTTGAAAACCTTTCTATGGAAAAATGCAAACTGGTTGAACGAACAAGGTTAATTCATTATGAGTTTGGTTGAGAAGCTCTCCCATCTTAAGTAGTACTGATTCTTCAATGTATTGCAGAGAAACACAAGAAAAGCTGAGGGAAATGAGTGAAGACGAAAACAATCAAATTTTATGTTTCAACCTCCATACCCATACTCAGCTTTATGTATTTTATTCTGACATTAACTTTGCTGCAAGCAACCTTTGAGTCTCACTTGCTCACCATTTTTCTATGGCATCATGTAGGTGGCTTTTTGTAATTGAGGAGGACATAAAGGGCTTACCCTGTTTTCAGGTTTGCTGCCTCATGAAATTCCTTGTTCTGTAATATATTCTCTATTAGTTCTGCCTAATCCAAGAAATTTTCTAGCCCATCTACACCATTAAAGCCCTTGTAATTATTTTTCGTAGTACCTTCTTCAATGATCTCATTGTATCTTACGTATCACCCACTAGTATCTCTCTCGACAATCGTGTGATCATTGTTGTTACCTTTTTGTGAGCTCAAAGCCATTACTAATTAACAAAAAACAGGGATTATATCCTAGCTACGTCTTTTTCTTTGTCCAATCGGTTTTGATGATTGCAAGCTCTAAAGGTTTTGATCCAATGCTGCCGGTGGCTTTAGACCTATTAGCTCAAGTGGTAGAACACTGTGCAAATGCATAGATGATGTAGGTTCGATTCCTATATAAATTTAAATAAAATAAACACTTTGAAGTTACCAGAAAAATCTAACACCAGAGAGGAAGAGGAGTCCATTGCAATTGCTCATTTTCTACAAATTCATAGTATAGAGGTTGGCAAAGACATTATGAATAGTTTTATTATACAAGTAAATAAGATTACCTCAAAAGTAAATTAGAAAATCTCAGAAGTAAATAACAAATTCTCAAAAGCATATCTATAATCAAATAGTTCAAAGCAATAAGTGAGTATAAAAACTGAGTTATTGGCACTCATATGGTTATGATGAGCCAAATTACAAGAAAGAAGTATATGGAGGTTAATTAATTGGTGTGAAACAATGGTATCTTTGCTGTAGCAATGAATTTTATTTATTATATTGTTTTTTACATAGAAAAAACAGAGATTAGTTACTAAAAGAAGAAAAAACAGAATTAACGGAGATCAGATTTGCAGCCGCTTCTTTAGCCATCCCATGGGCAGCTTCAACCTTAGTCCTTTGTTCCTTCCATACAACACACCATTCCAGGTCTGAGCTCTATCTTTAATCTCATTGATAGTCCATGTCAAGCTTTTTTCCTTGATATTCTTGTCATCATGTAGCAGGTCAACCAAGTTTGTAGCATCAGTTTTAATGACAATGCTTCTTATACCAACTTCAGCACACCATTTTATTGCTATTAAACAAGTTATTGATTCTGCTTGGAGTGCTGAATTTTCCATACCATACGTGCACCCTTTCATTTCCGTTAAAGCTTCATAATATTCCAGAACCCATTCGTCTTGAAGTGCTATTCCAAGCCCCATCGTGTTGGATAGAAAATTAGCTGATCCAGTCTTATTCTTTCCTATATAAGCTATCTTAAAGCATGGTGGTTGTGTACTTTCTACTTCCGGAGGATATAGGAACTTCAGTCCTTAAATGTCTTCCTAGGAAAACATTATTTGTTCTTGTCAACGAGCCTTGATTTTTTCCAGAATAGCATTAGTAGGAAGTCTGTTTCCATTAAAGGCAAACTCGTTTCTTGCCAGCCAAAGCTACCCCAAAGTTGCAAGAAAGACTTCAATCCTGTTATTGTCTTGACCGTCCTGGCTATAAAGCAGCTGGATATAAAAAAGGATCCACTCTTGAATTGTACAGGGTCCATTACTTGAAGAGCAATACCTAAAGTACCACACTGCCAAACCCTCTTTGTTGTGATACAGAACCTTAGAGTATGCTTAATACTCTCTTCTTCCACCCCACAACAGTCACAAATATTTGTATCACACACGCTACGAAAATGCAGATAATTTTTCACTTCTAAGCCATTATAAAAAATAAAAAAACCTTCCAGACAAAAGTCTTCCATTTTGGGAGTAAATTCAAGTGCCACATAAATTTGAGGAACCTTACCACCTCATCTGTAATCTTCTTGTTTATTGTTCCTTGTTTCATCAGAAAAGCATATCCTGTATTAGTATCAGCTTGTAAGATTCCAGTGAAACATATCAGCTTGTCCCTTCCCGGCAACTCCATAGCTCCTATTTCCTTATTGATGAAAAGATACATTAAAAGTAAATGAACAAATTAAATATAAATAATCTGATATCAAAGTAAAATGATAAAACTAAAAAGTAATTATGTATTGGCACCCACATTTCCAACTTGAATTTTGTCAGGAAGCATTCAACATAAAATCAAGAAAGAGAAATAGGGATTGGTATCCCCAGAAGTTAATTTGCAGCTATATTAATTACCTATCTAAATTGATTTCGTTACAAGTTTAAGGTATTTTGCTGATCAGGGGGAACCACGAACATATGTTGGCGCTGGAAGCTTGCCATTGAATTCTGGAAGAGCATCTCTATCTGCTGAAGCTCAGAAGCCTACGACCAGGTCTATAAGCTTCCGAGTACAAATTGTGAATGCTTGTTTAAACTGAAAGTTAAACAATCAGGTCTGTAAATCATAATACCTCTTTCTGGCCTTACTTCAGATTATCAAGTGGCGGCAGAAATAATTGGATGGGTGGTACAAATTATCAAGATGCAGCATAAGCAACAAAAGCAGCTTCTGATCCTGCAAAAGACGCTGTTGCTGCTGCCCAAGCTGCTGCTCAACTAACTCAAACATCTTATAATATCAGCACAATAAGTAATCAGTCACCACATCCTGTGAACCAAGAGGGTAATTTGGGAACCCAAGGGAGGGAATAAACATCTTTCAGTTTAGGAGGGGCTGCAAGTAATTGCCACATCAATACTGACATCAAGACTATGAAGTATTTGTTATCTCCGGTGGCTTTGGCCTTGAAATTAGTGAGTGATGCCAGGATACACTCATTGGCAGCTCCACCAGATTAATAAACTCATAGGCAGCTTCACCAGAAATTTGCACAAATATCACAACATTTTCCTATTTGCACATATTTTCTCTCTACCTCTCTCTTCATCACATGAATTTCTATTTTATTTCTCTCTATCTCTTTCCTCTTCTTAAAATTTGCACTTCAAAATGAGGAAGTGTTCACTTAAATGAATCGGTGACGCTTACATAAAGTTTCTATACGGAGACCAGTGTACACGAAATCTTCGAGAAGTATGTTTCCTCTTTTTTTTTTTTCATTTATAAATGCAATAATGATACAATTATATATATATATATATATATATATATATATATATATATATATATATATATATATATATATATATATATAAAATATTTCAATGGTTCGAGGTTAGGACTTAGGAGTACATATATACAATATAACAGCGTCAACCACAAGTAGTAGTAGCAGCAGCAGCAGCGTCGAGCAAGCAAAGATTGCAGCAGTCCTATAACGAGTGTCTCTCCACTCCTTGTGTGATATATCACCTCATTGGCAGGTCAACAGAAGAGAATAAGTAGGCTAATTTTCATGGATCTGCTGAAGCCACAGACTTATTCACCTTACAGGGAAGCCATTGTGTCTGTTGCATTTCAGAATAGAAACTGCATCTGAAACCTTGATAACAAGAGGAAGACTAACAACCTTCAAGAAGTAATGTTAAAGCAAAAGATTAGCAAAACACTCCCAAAACATATGCACAGCACATACAGACATACTCATTTGGAACACAAGGCAGAATCCGCATACAGCACTTACCGAGCTTGGTATTTCAGTCTTGATTGCAGCATACAGCATTGACCGAGCTTGCTCTTCATATAAGACATCATTGAATGTATCACCAACAGCCTGCACATCATTTTAGAAAAACCAATAATATTAAACGGAAGATGACACCTACTCATAGTGAGCTGTGTGGAAAATAGTAGAATAGTGATGGTTCAACAACACAAGTTCAATTACCCCTAACATACCTTTGATATTAGAAGAACTAGCATGATAAGGGGTAGAAACTTCAAGTTATTCGATATTTCAACCATGAGGGCACAGAGGGACACTGTCACCCGCATTGAGCCTCCAAAAAAAAGCAGCAGTACCTAGAAGAGCATATCTGTATTCACCTACACATTGACAGATCAAGCCACGAGCTAAGAGTTTGACTTGGATTTACACCCATTTCCATTCTTGATGATGTATGAATATGTCTGCCAACTTCTACAGTCCCTGCATCCAGTAAATTAGCACTAGAACCACCATAAACACATGAAAACCTTCACTAAAACTTCCCTAGTACTCATGTAGAGCACCTTCCTCTTCACATACATTGTCAAAAGTGTATAATGCCTGCATAATATTCTACAACATGCTTACAGAACCTCACAATCGCCTCTCTCTCTCTCTCTCGCTCTCTCTACTCACACACACACACACACAACCAAGTACTCTGTATACTTCACATTTATAAACGTAGACAAAATAACATGAAATGTAGGCTAATAATTAAAGGCCTGCGGACAAGAGAGCAAGCTGATGTATATATAAATTGCTCGACTGCAATCAAGAGAGGAAAATAAAAAAATTTAACAAGAAAGCCATTAACCTTTGGTCCATATAGATCCACAAATAAAATTAACCTGGAAAAAAAAAGGCACACTAGAAATTAAGCTTTGTTGTGAGGCACCAGAATGGAGTAAGAGCTAAATGTCAGCAAATTGTAATTTCAGAGTAAAAACCCGTTCTCTAAAAAGTAAGTAAAATAAATTAGTGAGAATAAACAAATTACTAGTTAGAAATCACTCATAGTTTTAAAGCCACGAACATTCAAGTGTTAAGTGATACTTAAGAATGCGTAAAATGGCTATATAGCCATAAAAGACTGAGGCTGAAAATTTCGATAATCAAAAAAAGATTAACTATTAGTCTTAAGTTGTTCTTCAGTTATCAGGTTCTTGTAGAAAAGTTGGCTATTAGTTTAATTTTGTAGTTCATGATAACATGTATCGTAAAGATGGCCTTTAGAAAATAAAGAGTTGAAAAAGTCAGATTATACATGTTGGAAAAAAGTCATGTAATATGCTAGAAAGTTCCTTGAAAATAAACTATATTTGTAAAATTAATTAACTAGAGCACATTTTTAGTAGCAACATAAGAAAAGTAACCAAGCAATGACAGTAGTAATCATAATATGATTCATTATCTTTTCTTTACATGAATTTAAATTCAAATTCTACTGAATATAATTGGAAAATGGAAAAAACAGTTGAAATTCAACAAATAAGATTTGTTTAATTGCTCTGTAAACAAGTGAAAACATCATCCTCAATAGCAAGACAAATTGTCAAAACTTGAGTATCAGAATATTAAAATTCCAGTTTCAATAAAATTTATTTTCACCTTGTACAAAGTTGAAAGTATAGGAAGTATTACCTTCATCTTGTCTCCTGTCCTACTTGCTTTGATTGCCAGCTCTTGCTCTTTACCCCATCTGCCAAATTATGGGCCAAGAACTTACCCTTCAGGACATCAGCACCAAAGATCCCTACAAGAAACACCAGGTAATAAATAATCTATATAAAACTCCATAGACAATCTCTTGCATTAAACCATGCTTCATATCTACATCTACAAAACACCTTTGATCTACTAGAGGTAATCTCCATTCCCTATCACAACATATCTGTATCTGTATCTCACACAAGGAATCACCTCAGTCTCCAAATCCATAGATGTAAGCCACTATAGAGTACAGACAGTTTTGCTTAACAAATAACTAAGGAACATTACAAAAAACTAGAAGGGGTGTAGCCTAGGAACATGGACTATTGCCGATATTTCCCAAGATTGACTACATCAGAGCCTACTTCGACAATGAATGGGTAGATGGAGGTAGAGGTACATGTACTAAAGAAATACTATGGACCTCATAAATATAATAGACATACTCTAAAATAATGGCACAACACATTGTACAAACATGCCAATATTACAATATGGAATGGTCTTAATTCAAGCAAACTTTAAAAGTTCAACTAATTTGTGAGTTTTCAAAACGATGCAACGAAAGTCTAATCTCACTCCTCTTCTTACTGGTTCTATCTTATTGGCCCAAAATCCATACTCTACTAATATAGTGGAAGAAAAATTGTTGCCATCTATTCCCTTAATCATCCACCATCTTCAGTTTTTAGAAAATCTAACTCAAGATCTAAAATACACAATCAAGCAAACTAAATGAAATACAAAGTTCTGCATACTATATCCTCAGATATCATTTAAAGACTTGAAGGGATAATTGAGTTTAACCAATTCTTTCATCATCAACCACCTCCATTCTCTTGAAAATTCACTCCCAAATCCCAGTCATACACAAAGTCGCACCCTAATTGCAATTAGCAATACAACTACTCCACACAGATAATTACATTTCTTTTCGTTATATCCACAGACATTATCAACCACAGACAAACAAGAAAGACACATTTCTTGAAATAATTTCACTACCACTCTAATCATATAAGATGTACAGTTAATACAAACATTCAAGCAACCTTATTTCAATACAGCTTATTGCCTTGAAAAAAAGTACTTGGTACATTTTCTTTTCAACATATCCCATACATTATCAAAGGAGTGCGACTAGAATGATGAATAAACTTGAACTTGCTCCTCTCCAACTTACAACAACAAATGTTAGAATCTTGAATCAATCCACATCCTCTCCAAGCAACCACCCCATCCCCCAACCCCCTTTAATAGTAGGATCCCTAAGATATACTAATATATATCGCCACAAAACTCTCTCTTTTACAAAATCCACCTAACTGAGCAAAACAGAACACACACCAAATCTAATTTGATACAAATCCACTACAATGAATTATAAACATTTTCAATATTACAATTGCACAAATTAGACTACCAAAACCCCTTAATAAGAACCTCTGAATAACATAAATAAATAAATAATAATAATAATAATAATAATAATAATAATAATAATAATAATAATAATAATAATAATAATAATAATAATAATAATAATAATAATAATAATAATAATAATAATAAAAAAAAAAAAAAAAAACCAACTTGATCTTGTAATTGATCTATTGCAGCTAATTATACAATTCAACATGAAAATTTCAAAATTAAACACAAATTATTAGCTGAATATAAAAGCAAATCGAAGATTACCAGCGGAAGTTGATAAGAACAGCTATTCCAATAACACGAACAGCTTCAGTAGCAACAAATATTATTAAAAGATTTCGATCTTTTACCAAAATGACTAATTTTACAAAAGTATTTACCAAAACGATTAATTATAAATTTTAATTTCAAAACTAGCTAAATTATTGACCGGGAAAGTTGGAAGGAAATTAATTATTCCCTCCGTATTTTTTTTTTAAATGCATCACTTTCCTAGATGTTTTTTTGTAAATGCGTCACTTTTTTATTTGGTAATTTTATACTATATTTTATTATGTGGAATGCTAAACCTCGCCCTCAAATCTCTAACTAACGCCCGCAAAATAACCTAAAATGACGTACGTAGCCTTGTTATAAAAATATTATAAAATAGTTATTTTTACATAAACTTAACACTTTTACCCTACATAAAAATTTTTACCGTTCTCCCTAGTGCTCACACCGGCCACCAACGATCACGTTGAACCACCAACCACTGTAATTTTCAAAATCAAACAAATAATTTAAATTTTGCAAAACCTAATTTGTTGGATCCCATGGAAGACAACGAAAGGCCGGAAACACCACCCACGTTGGTCGCCGGAGGCTCGTCGGACTGTACGGAATCGGTACGATTATTTAATTTTTTTTTTTCGAAATTCCGAATATATAATTTTCTGTTTATGAAATTTCCAGGCAAACGCCCAAAAAATTCGAATAACCTAGGTTGAAACGCCTAGTTTTTTCGAACACCTTAGGATATTCCGAAAAACTAGGCGTTTTCTTTTTTTTTTGAATTTCCGAATATTTAATTTTCTGTTTAGGAAATTTCCAGGCAAACGCCCAGAAATTTCGAAAAACCTAGGCTGAAACGCCTAGTTTTTTCGGAATATCCTAGGGTGTTCGAAAAGACTAGGCGTTTCAGCCTAGGTTTTTCGAAAATTTTGGGCGTTTGCCTGGAAATTTCGAATTTTTTATTAATTTTGAAGTATTATTATAATTAGTTGTTATTATAATTAGTTGTGTATTGTTAGAAGTATTATTATTAGTTGTTATTATTATTAGTTGTGTTTTTGTTGTTTGTCAACTTTTATTAATTTTGTTTTTATTGTTATTATTATTATTATTATTATAGGATTCTGAGTCCGAGGATGGTGATGGTGTGGATTATAGCATACATTTTTTGACAGACACTATGTTTCCGAGTTTTGAGGATGTCGTTCCGTGGGCACAAAATGTTTGTCGCCCGCTCGGATTTATGTTAGTGAAGGCTTCTTACAAGACCGATCGGAGTGGTCGGCCGTATCGATATGTGAGTTGTGATCGTGGAAAAAAGAGCATGATAAAAGACATGATGAACACGATACGCAAAGACACGAAAAGCAAGGCAAACAGTTGTCCCTTCAGACTCAAGGTTGAGTATGTCAGAGTAGTAAGTGGTTGGAAGCTCAGTTGCTTGAACGACACTCACAATCATTCTTTGGTTGTGTATCCTGAGGGACATCGATAAATCAGCGGTCTTAGTCTTGCTGCTAAGCAGGTAGTTCGTGACATGACTCAGGCACAGGTGCCACCTCGGCATATCATGAGAACTCTTGTAGAAAAGTTTCCCGGAGACCATCCAAACATCAGGCATGTCTACAACTGCAGAAGTAATATCAGAATGGAGCGATTCGAGGGAAGAGAGGTGGTTCACCAGGTGCTTCATTTGGCCAGACAGAGCAAATACCTTACTTGGGTCATGACTGATACCAACAATGTGTTGCAACATGCTTTCATGGCACACCCGATCATGACAAATTTGCTACGCACATACCCGTACGTGATAGGTATGGATTCCACTTACAAGATGAACCGATACGGCATGCCATTCTTTGAGATTGTTGGGGTTACACCGACAAATCAGAACTTTCTTGTTGCATACGCATTCATGAGGTCGGAGTCCGAAGAAAGTTATCGGTGGGTGCTTCAGTGCTTGATGTTGTTGATTGGTCATCATAGAGAGTCGTCGGTACTACTGACAGATAGGGAGCTTGGTCTTTGTGCAGCATTGAAGAGCGTGTTTCCAAACACAAGACTCATGTTGTGTGTGTGGCATATTAACAAAGACGTTGAGGCGAAGGTTACTTCCATGTTTGAAAAAAAGAAAGAGATTGGTGCCAATTTCAAAAACGGGAGGTGGAGGCATGTGATTAATGCTACATCTGAAGAGGCATATGAAAGAGAGCTTGTAGAGCTGAAAACCAAGTGGAGTCGATGGCCGAAAGTGATTAATTATGTTGTGGACACTTGGCTCATACACAAGGAGAAGTTTGTGATGTTTTGGACGAATCAGGTACTGCACTTCGGCAATGTTAACAACTGTAGGGTTGAGAGCCAGCATTCGGCATTGAAATGTTGGATTGACAGTTCTACAGGTTCTTTAGACACAGTTTGGGCTCAGGTGCACTGCTTGATTGAGAACCAGATATTTTAATTTATTTTGTGTAATAACTTAATTATATGTCATATTATGTTTTTTATTTTGTAGGTACCGGGTTCGACATGCGACAATGTAGATACAGCTACGCGATTCCCAACATCATGTGGCCTTACGTCGTAGGTGTTGACGTAATTGGAGATGGGAATTGTGGATTTTGTTGCGTAGCAGATTTTTGTTACGGAGATCAAGAGGAATGGCGGTTGGTTCGACATCATATCGCAAATGAGGTTGGTTCTCATCCTTGGTTGTACAACATGATTTACTACGACATATGGGGTCAACAGGTTGGTTTAGGACTGCAGAGGGAGGTAGACCGGATCAGATGGGATGGTGATGCGTGTGGACAGGAGCATTGGATGGTAGCACAACAGGATTTGTTTGCTATTGCCAATATGGAACGTGGTAGTGATTTGTTATGGAGTAGGAAATAGACCATCGTGCTACTATCCATTTACCACTGTTTTACCGTTGAACAATCGTGGACGCTTAGACAGGTCTAGTGCAGAGTTCGTGATTGGAACTGTTGGTGGCTCGCATTTCATTCGTTTGCATATGGATCAAGACCACCCACTTCCTCCAATTTCACCAATGTGGTTTAACGCTCGACAGGCAAGTGTACACGGATGGGAGGCAAGGTACGAGAGAAAGCTTCAATTGTGGCAGACATTAGTTAGCTCTTGAGTACTGTTATGGATTTTTATTAAACTTTATATAACTTAATTAATAAACATTATTTTTTTTAATTTTTTTTAAGAAATTCTTTTTAAAATTTACTAAGTAATTACTACGTAATTAGAAAATAAAATAATAATATATAAATGTCAACTTGATAATTCTCAACAAATGTGATAAAACATAAATGTCCACTAACAACCCAAAACATAGTCTAATAAAACAACAAAGTCAAAGCTAGAATACATATTACAACTAATCTCTAAGTCCATTTATTGTATTCCAATCATTAATCACCTGCTCCAACATTACTTTGGTGTCCATTGATAGTGTAGGGTACTCACTAAGTGATCGCTGCGCTGTAACCATGAATCGCCCTACCCACTGCACAAAGCATTATAATTGTGTATTAATAGAAATAATAGGAAAAAAATAATTAAATTAAAAAAAAACTAACATAAAACTTACGTAATCAACGTTGGTCCTCTCAGGAAGACCGACTTCATCCTCAACATTAGGAGTGACGATAGAATGGCTAACTCTCCCAAACCATGGTAGGTAGTCAGGGGCACAAGTATGTCTGCCACGTGGAACTTTAGTATATCCACCAAGAAGAAGACTGAACGCAGCACCGGGGACAAATCTATCCCACATGAGAGTGGTCATCTGAGCTGAAAAACTGACCCTATAAGACTTCATACTAAGTGGTCTCTGAGCATCATCAGGCCTAATCATGTCACCGGGAATCTCCTGTATAAACCCCAACTGTCGAACAACTCGATCGGGCATATATGGTTCTATGATGCCTCGATAGCGAATACATCCAGTAAACATAGTCCTAGGCACCTGTTGTGCAGGAAATCCACCATATGGCAACCAACATACCTGGAAATTAGTTATACCTGTAAATCAACTGTAAAAAAAATCAATATAAGACAAATAGTAATTACGTATCTACTTATACCTCATAGTCACCCAGCTGGTCAAGTCGAGTACGAAAGGACACGAGACGCTGCTGATGCTTCCGCGTCATACCAACATCCCATAACCCTGCACGAGCATGAGGGACGTCCCGTGTCAACACACCCTGGTGAGGCTGAAAACATGGAAAGTACTCGTATATCCAAGCCTGTAGAAGAGTCAGACAACCCGCGATAGACTCACATCCATTTCGGGTGGCATGCCCGAGCTGACGATACAAGTACGCTAGTGTGGCTGAACCCCAGGAGTATCTCGTCAACCTCTCCAGGTTATCCTCGATACACAACTCACTGAGAAAAGAAGGGTGAGTACGGATACCGCTCTTGTCAGTAAAGAGCGTGTTACCCAAAAGGACCCACATGTAACCAATGGCCTGAACCGCCTCCAGCTGCTCCTCACTACGACACCTAGCAATAATCTGGTCAGTATGGACGCCACCGTTCTTGTAGATGGCATTCTGAGTCTTGACCTGTAGCTCCTCCGGAGTCAACTGTAACAACCCACCTACCAATGTCCTATACAGGTCACTAGGGAGATCATCGACAACCATATCCCCATCAACCCAAATACCAAGTATGTGGTGTACTTCGTGTAACATGATGGTCATCTCACCAAAAGGTAGGTGGAATGTGTTCGTGTCTGGCTGCCATCTCTCAACAAAGGCAAAAATCAGCGGAAAATCAAGGTGGTCGTGCATAATGCTAGGCAGGTGCGACAGCCCAGTCTGCCGTATCCGCGTAGTGGTGGCAGGTGTAAATCGCTCTAGCCAATCAGTCAAATCTCTACACACACTAGCTCTAGTATGACACCGCAAAAAACGTTGATCTTCCCCATCCCAAATATACCGAGCAACATGGGCCCCAAAACTAGGAATAACGCTCCTATCCTCGGGCCCACCGTCCATCGGCCCCTGAACAAGCCAAGTCGCTGCAGATCGAGGTGGTCGGGAACTCGTAAATCTCCCATCAGGACCTCTCGTCACGACAGGCGGCTGCTCCTCAGCATCAGCCTGACCCTCATCTACATCATCCTCAGGTCCATCATCCTCGTACCTCGAACTCGAACCCGAACCCGGAGTCCCATAATCATCCACTACCCTGTCGCGCTCTGGTACTGAACTACCTTCCCGTATACTAATCCCCCTATCTCTCCTAATTGACGCGTTAATACCGCGTGATCTAGCATGTCGTGGACCAAAACCCTCAACTACATCCTAAATTTAAAATAAATTATAATATTAAATAAAAAAATTAGGTGATGCAAACAAAAGAAAACCAATAATGTGTTCTATGTATCATTTTAATAAAATCATTACGAGTATTAAACAATAATAATAAACAACAATAACAGCAATAATACCTATCTTTTTACACTTAGAAAAACCAAAGGAGTACTACTACTTATATTTTACTCGTAATATTTTATTATAACATTACACAGATTTTTTACACAAACTCAACAATAATAATATCTCAGATCATTCCTCACCACCACCTTTAATTTATCAGTAATTCTTAGATTGAGCACAAAAGCCCAAAATTACACTTAGCTACACATTTGAGTACGGCAGTGTACTCAAATCCCACTAATTGACACTCTAATACTTGATTAGCCTAAAGGGGAGTGAAATTCAAGTATGCCTCTTTGCTACCATAGAGCTTATGCCGAGCTACTGAGATTCAAGTATAAATACTAATTTTCTCTCAAACTCAATCTCAATCTCAATCTACCAAGCTTTAATTTTTCTGATTGTAGGAAAATTATATGCCCATATAATACTTAATCATACCACGAATAAGTTCATCATTACCATATAATATAGATAAAAATAACTAAATTCACCATCAATTCCAACAACAAATTGAAACAAATAGCAACATCATACGGAAAACAGGCCATAGTCTCAACGACAGCAATTAAACAACAACAACAACAATAATAAACAACAACGACATCATACGAAAAACAGGCATAAACGCCCAATTTTTTCGTCGGATCTAGGTTGAAACGCCTAGATTTTTCGTATAACCGTATGGATGAACGAAAATTCTAGGCGTTTCAGCCCAGATCTAGCGAAAAAATTAGGCGTTTCCGCCAATTCCAGAAAAAAAAATAAAAAAAATATACTCACCTTGTCTCCGGCGACTCCTTCGACGACGGCCTTTCCCTTGTCCTTCCTCGTCATTTTCGCGCCTTTCCCTTGTACGTGGTGGTGGGTGGGACGTGGTGGGTGGTTAAAGGGCGTGGTGGTATGTGGTTAAAAAAGGAGGTGGTGGTGGGTGATTTAAAGAGGAGTTGGTGGTGGGTGGTTCAAAGAGGAGGTGGTGGTAGTGGTGGGTGGTAAAAGAATGTGGTGGTGGTTTTGGTGTAGAGATAGAATTTTTTTACAGAGGGAGTGAGGGTTTTGGGAGGTAAGTAGTGTTTGGGAGGTAAATTATATATTTTATATAAGGGTAAATTTGTACAATAAATTTTATTTGCGGGCGTTATTCGGAAATTCGAGGGCGATATTTAACAACCCCCTTTATTATTTCTCTCCCTTATTTTAAACCCCACTTCAATTATTTTATCATTTCTCTCTCCTTCATAATTCCCACTTATAAAATAAAATATTTACTCTCTCTCACATTCTTTCTCTTTCAAGGTCCCTATATAACTTTTACTATAATAAATTATTCACCTACTCACAATATTATATTACTCTTCTAAAACCCCTTGCATCACCAAGTGATGCAAATAAAAAAAAACGAAGGGAGTAAGGCCTTGTTTAATTCAACTTATTTTTACTTATTTCAGAAAAAATAAGTTCAGATCAGATCAGATCAGAAAAAATAAGTTCAGATCAGAACGTCGTTTTATGTGCGGTTTTTTATCGCTAAATATTCTTAATTTCGTAATAAAAAAATGTGAAAATTACATATTAATAAAATACACATTATTACAAATCTAACAAGATCCCACTTGATATATTTTTTTCCTTATAGATAATCGTACACTTATGGTCAAAGTCTGGTCAAATCAGACAATCAGATCAGATCAGACCAGATCAGATCAGTAAAAATAAGGTGAACCAAACAAGGCCTAAATCTTATTTCCTTTTTACTGGTTTGGTTCACTTTATGATTTTTTTTTTTTTTTATATTGGTTTTTTGTTTTTTCTGGGAAAAATATCCCATTAATTTGGAAAATAACATTCAACATTATATATTTGCAATAAGTTTTTAAAAAGTTACACAAAATAAAAATATCACTTAAAAAATTGTTCTCATATTCTGAATGTGGAGGCTCTTCATATTCAATTTCAAAGTCAGACTCAAGAACTTCAATATTATTCTCTTCAACATTATTTGTTATCTCATAATTGAGCATTGGAACCTCATTAGCTACTATATACAGATAGATTATCCATATTCACATCAGAGGAGCAAGAATGGCTTACGGGATCAAGCAATAAATATATAACCTAAATATATTCATTTAAAAAATCCTAAAAAAAAATTAAAATAAAACTGTTTGGGGTAAAAATTACCCCTGCCACGTGGCCCAATGAGGGCCTGACACGTGTCACCCTCATACTGGCCCCAGGGGATCCAATCAGAGGATGCCACGTGGCATTGAACCCCCAATGGGGGAGCAGATCCTCATCTGCTATAAATAGAGGAATCATCCTCATTTATTGGCATTCATAAATACCTACACGAAACCCGAGCAATATTAATTGTGGAATCTCTCTGAATCAGTGAGAAAAATACATTTACTTTTTGCCCGTTTACTCATCCGGAATCATACTAACTTGATCTTCGGAGGCGGAACTCCTCCCAACCGGAGTTTCGTGGTTTTTCAGGTACAGAAGTCAGGCGTGCATACTCAGTATTGTAACTCTCCCGAGGGACCAAAAACACCCGAAACATTTGACGCCATCTGTGGGGAGAGTACTACTGAGATGGCATCTGATGTTGTACCGAATGCAGAGGGAAGCCGGCCTACGGCTGACCCTGAGGTCCATACGGACCATGAAAGTGGAAGTGGTGACGACTTCAATGTCGAAACCTATATGGCCCCAGACGGGTCATTTCGCTCTAGACGCACCCGTTCCAAAGAAAAGAAGGAACGGGGCCAAGACAAAGCTTGTCCCAGCAACCCAGGCGGCAAGCACACTGGACAACCCCATGCGGCGGAGGGGGCAGCCCCCGTCACTAGAGACGAACTCATGAATCTCATGACTAGTTTCAAGGGGGAAATCAAGACATAATCAAAAAGTCAGCTGGCTCAAGCAAGGGTCAGTTGGCAAAGAAGCCTTCTCCCTCTGGGAAGAAGAAACTCAAAGACCGGGCCGGGTGCCTACTCCGCACCCCAAACCCAAGGGGGCTGATGAGCCTCTGATCGATCTCTCAAAACTTCGTTTCCTTGAATCAGGGCAACGGAAGGCCATCCGGCATACACAGCCGGATGGGTCAAAAAAGACCTTCTCTGACGCCCGGTTGTTAATCCAGGAGAAGAGAAGTCAGAGTATGTCTCAGTCGGCCTCAACGTCGACCTACTCGGACAGTTTCTGAAATGCTTCAATGAAGCACTCGGAGACGCAACAAGGGAGTCAGCCGCGCGGCGTGTCCGCACGTACTGGCCCTCACGTGATCCAGCAGGCTCTGTATGTGCCCCAACATTAATACGGCCCGTATGGATCTCCATTCATGCAGTCGGCTCCCTTCAGGGGTCAGGCTGCATATCAGGTCCAGCTTATGGACTAGCAGCTCCGGCTGCTAAACCTAGGGGAACAGCCTTCGGCTTTCTCCCGGGAAATAACCGAGGCGGCACAGCCGGCCAAGGTCAAAAATGTATTGGTTGGTGCCTACGACGGTACCACCAACCCGGAAGACCACCTAATGGCATACACCAACCTCATGTATTTACAGGGGTTAGATGACACCACCTGGTGCAGATGCTTCCCGGCTACCTTGAAGGGCATAGCCCAGCGATGGTTCGGCAACTTGCCGGCTGGGTGCATCAACAACTTCAAGACGCTTGCATACCTGTTTGCGTCCAACTTTTCCATGAATATCCCTGCTAAAAAGACAAGTCTCGACCTAGGGGCAATCCAGCAGGGTGACAAGGAGGGGCTTCGGTCCTATGTTAGACGGTTTAACCTGATGAGAATTCAAATTCAGGGGTTGTCTGACGAAGTTGCATACACAGACTTCTTCAAGGGTCTGAAGGATGGGTCAACTTTCAAATTTGATCTTGTCCGTAAGAGGGTGGCTACCCTCCAAGAGGCACTGATGGAGGCGGATGCCTATATACAGGCAACGGAGCTCTGCGCTATTAAGCATCCCTCGGAACCCAAGCGGTCTGACAAGAGAGACAGCCGGCCTACCCAGCCGGCCAAAAAAGAAGAAAAGAAAAGAAAAGAAGTCTGGCCAGCTGACCGCCCAGGTCAGCAGTCCCAGAAGCAGCAGAGGAAGTTTGAACCGTACGTCCCCAAGTACGAGTTCAAAAAAGACCGCTCCTCCATCCTCATGGAGATAAAGGACCGGTTGACAATTGAAAAATCGGTTGCAATGAAAAGCTCTGTCAAGAACTGAGACAAAAGCAAGTATTGTCAGTTCCATGAGAACGTTGGCCATGACACCAATGGTTGCTATAGCCTCAGGCGGCTATTGGATCGTCTGACTGATGAAGGGGCCTTGGAGTCCTATCTGGTGAAGTCCAAGGGCAACCTTAAACCAAGTGGGGGACAATCGTCCAAGAAACCGGCTGCTAGCTCTGAAACGGATGAAGAGCACATCTTCACCATAGCAGGCGGCTTTGCAAGCGGAGGTCCCACCATTCGGGGTGCCAAGGATAACATCCGAAAATTATCCAACCCAGAGGATGAGGGCCAGGCGTCGCAAGACACCTTCCCTGAGGTCTTCATCTCTGAGAAGGATAGGGGCATGGTCAGGCGGCCTCACGATGACCCCATTGTCATCGAATGCAAAGTTGCCAATCAACGAGTTGGATGGATCTTAATCGATACCGGGAGCTCGTCTGATCTTATCAGCTACCAGTGCTTGACAAAGCTGAAGTACAAGCCTAGCAATATGCACAAGGCTCCTTACCCCCTAGTCGGCTTTGGGGGAGGAGTAGTGCATCCGGTGGGCAGGATTGACCTACCCATCCAGCTATGGGACAAAGGGAAAGGACGACACATGGTCGTCAAGTTTTTGGTGGTCGAGGAATTGACCGCCTACAACCTTATTCAGGGTCGTCCTACCCTCAACGAGTCCAAGGCAGTCATCATCCCCTCTCTTATGCTGATCAAGTTTGAGAGGGATAACGGATCAGTGGGTGCCCTAAGCGGGGACCAGAAGACGGCTAGGGAATGTTACCTCTCAGATGTCAGGCTGACTGTTACTGCAGCCAGTCATATCGAGGAACCTGCTGACCTCGAGGACTCAGAAGCCGCGCTTGCTCCCAAGGCAGCCGGAAAAAAGCAAAAGGCGGACCAACTGGCCCTCGCCAGAAAAACAAAATAGCAATCACTGACCTGGGAAAGGCCGGATGACTCCCGACCCCAGCCGGGCGGTGAAAGCATTGATGTCGTCCTGGACGACAGCCGCCCTGACAGAACCGTCAAAGTTGGGATGGTTGTTTTTCAAAAGTTGGGGGCAAACCTGCTCCAACTTTTGATAGAATTCAAAGATATTTTTGCCTTTGAAGTGGAAAAGATGTCAGGCGTCAGCCCGGATCTAGCTGTCCACAAGTTAGCTGTTGATCCCAAAATAAAGCCGGTTGGGCAAAAGAAGAGGGATCATGGCGAGGAGAGGTCTCAGGCGGCAGCCGCCGAGGTTAAAAAGCTCCTCGATGTTGGGTTCATTCGGCAATGCTATTACCCGGATTAGGTAGCAAATGTTGTTCTTGTCAAAAAGCCGAATGGGACCTGGCGGATGTGTGTAGATTACACAGATCTAAACAAGCCATGTCCGAAGGACAGTTATCCCCTTCCAAAGATCGACAGTCTTTTCGACTCCACAACCGGCCATGCCTTGATGAGTTTTATAGATGCTTACTCTAGCTTCCATCAGATCCCCTTATGGAAGAAGGATCAGGAGAAGACGGCCTTCGTCACCGATCAGGGGTTGTACTGCTACACGGTAATGTCGTTTGGGTTAAATAATGCGCCTGCTACCTTCCAACAAATGATAAACA